TCCTCGAGAGCCTGACGAAGCTGATCTTCGGTATATTGAGGCATTATATATAGAAGAAGACATGTGCAAAAGATGAGCCCATTTGGACGCGAATTGAAAATGTTGTGATAAAAGGAGGTTGGGGGTGGGCATTGGGTTGTGGTGGATTTTCGCGTTTTTGTGGGTGCCAGAAACAGGGGGGTGCCAGGAAGTGGGTATGTTGACTTATCGGAGACGTCTCGTCACAACTGGTGTGCGATTAGGCTTTCTCACTGGGGGCTATCGAGTTGGAGATCTCAACTACCTTCGAACTTCGTCGTTCCGCCACCAAGGTCTCAATAGGTCAAAGCCCTGGGAAATGCTACTACCCGGGTTCCTTGTCTTCGCGACCATACTTTCGACAATTGTTGGACCAGCATCTGCGGTCCTCCTCCTACCCAGCTTGGGTTGGTACGAGTTTGATACAAGCTCGGCGTTCAGCAAAATCGAGCCGCCCTTGTTGTACTGGTGGAATCGGAGGGCCATATGGTTCAGAGACCCTTTCAGCGAGTACACGGAGTGCCAAGGACCTGCGGGGGTCTATCGAGATTATTGTCCAGCTGGCGGGTTCCCTGTGATCTCGAGCTGGGTACGGGACTACGCAGCCACCGACTTGACCAACAATCTCACATTTTATTCCACGTCGTCAGATATTAGGCGCCATTTAGTGTTCACGCAAGCCGATGACAAGCCTAACACATCTTCGACCACGCTTACCACCACGCCATCGCACTTCCTCATGACCAGCATCGGTCTCTTTCAACAATTCATCCACAGCTCCGATGTTGGTGCCCTATCCCGCGAACCTCGCTACCGAATTACAGCCAAAGGAGGCGCCAATGTCAAGTCACCGACCGGAGAGGGATCGGGGTTCTACCAACCATTTGTACAGTCCAGGTGTACAATACACGATAAAGGTTACTTAGCAGATACTCCGGGATCTATCAGCTTTCCAACGAAATCTATCAACTGCTTCGATGATGCCGATTGTCTTCAATCCCAAAGAAAACCTAGGGAATTTAACGAAGCAGACTGGCTGAACAATTCGAGTCTCGACAATATCTCAGCCTCAAGCACATTCTTTCTGGACAAAGAAAACTCAACTGTTGTGTACCTGAATGGAATGATACCCGACTCATTGTCTGGGGAATCGAGAAACTTGGTTTACATCTGTAGCTTGTACGCAAGTTGGGCGCCGTCTAACTTCTCAATGGACCCAAGCGTCAGTGACAGTCTTCAATCAACATTTAGTAACGACAAAAGCATGCGAGACATGTACTACGGCAAGAGTCAAGAAGACATCCGAGTAATAAGATTCAGGTCGAATTGGTTCAAATTTCTCAACCCACACTGGAATATATCAAACACGACCACCGCCTCGGGTGTTAGTCAGATCATCCTCAACTTTTCTTCGAAGTTAAAGGTGAATGGGAAAACTGTGAACGTTTTGGCTCCAGTCGATGGTGCGAATAATACAGCATCAGAAATATTTCTGGCCAAAGTCTTTGGAGTTTACCTCGCCGAGGGTCTGGCACGGAACAGTCAAGAACAGAGAACCCGGATCAAGCTCAATAGTACTGACACCGAGCTAACTTACCTCGACTTGAACGAGCAACACGGCTACCTCGGAGGTGTTCATAAAATCACTCCCTTCAACAACACTCATCATCAGGATGAGTGGAGAGACAGCACGACCCAGCGCAACACAACTTTTGCAGCTTTCACTGAGGTGCTGAACACGGCTTTGCCAATCAACTTTACTGCGCAGCGCTACGGATACGGATCAGGACAAGGTCGCAAAACGCTGGAATTTGCCCAGGTGATGATGCTGATCTACCTCGGCATCATCGCCGTCTACGCCGCAACAGTGGGAACTGGATACGTGTTGGAGCTTCTCAAGGTCAAGTCAGGTGGGGAGCGCATCCGTGTCCTGAGCGTGATACCATGGTCAGATTTACAAGACTTGATCGTACTCGCACTAAAGACGCCGCCTCCATCTGATGAGGATCTGGCAGATGCTGGAGCTGGTGTTACTTCTGACAAAGTGTGGGAGAAGGTTGTGAGAGCGGAGTCTGACGACAAACGCAATATTCAACTAGCTTTCCAGGAGACAACACACACGAGAAAGCTGGATGTGAGTCGGAAGGAGCGGTATTATTAAGAGTCATCTCTATTGGTCTTATTGATTATTCTTGCCATCAAGTTTTGATGTCATTTGGCGCTCAAGGACGAGTTTCCCTTGCACATCATTCTAGATACTTTTCCCACACATCTTATTATCTTATGCACAGAAGATTTCAAAGCCTCAGGAATTTGATTACATATCCAAGCTCAAAGTCTACCACGAATGCCGCCGGGGACTACGAAATGACGAAGTCATTATTCTAGTGTGTTTTAAGTTCTCCTCAAGCTCGAATGCTCATAATGCCCAACATGAATCGTTGAAGCGACTTCATTCCGTCATCATATCGACGTTGAGTTTCTTTATCAGAGTTAGGCCCAGCTGGAAAGACCCGAAGTCCAGCGTAGCTAAATCTGCGCAACGGCATTCCAACAAACCACCCGCCAAGGCGTTACCGGCTTACCAAGCTGCGTTTCTCGTGCCGAGGCAAGAGCCAAACTCTAACTCTAAAGGCCCTTCTATCAGGTTCATGATATTCTAAAGTAGATGTGTATAATAACCGCGTTCTGGTGTTCGGTTGAGCCGTGACGCGACCGACGGCAGTTCCGGCGAACGAGGGCAGAAGAACGACCGACAAATATCTGCCCAGAGGACATGGTCATGAATACCGCAACCCTATCAGTTTATCAGCGCCTGACGTGCTTACCATGGAGTCGGGCGTGCTAGTTCACCTTTTAACTTTGGGGGACTTAATCTAGATAGTGGGAACCATCGCTGGGGCCGTCCCGATGATTAGGATCGTCTGCGTTAGTTTCCTTTTTTAGCTCTCGTCGGTTGACTCGGTATAATGCAAGAGAATAGTGTTCAAGATACGCTTTGACGAGCTGTTGAGTCATGTCTTTCCATTTGTGTGTGGGCTTAACACCGCTGACATTTTCAAAGGAGTTGATTGAGAGTGTAAATTGCCAAGAATGGACGGATGAAGTTTCTATGAAGCTGCCCCGAACTTAGGTAGCAGCGTTGCACTGAATCGGCACTCTGATCTTCTGCCCGTCAACAATCTTTCCAGCTCCCCGGAATGGCGTGATGTCCATATAAAAGTCCCATATTTTCACCGCATTTCCCCGCCGTTGAACGAGTGCGACTGCGAACTGTTGATCGGCCGAATCCACGTATCGTCGGATCAATTGAAATGCAACAGTGGGCCATTTTGAGTGTAAATGGGAACTGTTATATGGGAAGTCCGGAGGTTGTATGGAATTTACATGTGTTTACTCAGAAGCCAACCTAGCTATCTTTAGACCGAAGCTATTGAGACCAATGGCAAAAATGAAGTGTCTTCATAAAGGTGGCGCCGGGAGGATCCTTGTGTCAGAGCAGTAGCTTGAGTTCGTTACAAGGGAGACGCGTAGTCAGACCTATGTCCTTGTGATTGAGGCTTCCAAAGCCATTGGCTGGCAGTTGGCAACTCCGAGAACCCGCACTATGATGAATTGCAAAGAAAACCTTTACCAGGTGTATGCATGTCCTATCGCTGATAACTCGAGAGCTTTGACTACTAGTCTTGCACTAAGGTACTAAGAAAACCGAGGCAATTGGCCAAGCATTGTAAACCAAGTCCTTGGACCAAACAAATAATCAATCATTCCGCTCGCCCCGAGGAACTCTCAATTGGCATGTGCATCCTCCGGTATTTTCGAAGCTCTTGCCCGTGGTCCATTGGAGCTGTTGTGGTTGGGGCCTGATATGCCATGTAATTCTCCACGGACATGACGTGCAACGGTGCAACACCACACTTTTCTTTAACACAGGGTCTTGAAACCGGCCTGAATACTGTCGATCGGGAAGGTGGGAGTAGCATATCGTATCTCTGTCCAAGTCCAGTCGTTCCATCTTCGTCCGAAAACAAACCCATCAGATGTCGTTCGTCCAAGTCATTTTGACACTCTGTCCGCGTGGAGGCAGCGTGGACAGCGTGGGCACGGATCGCTTGCACCTGTCGCAGGTTCAAGCCAAGCCATGCCACACATCCCCCTTTGGACGACCAACACCCTTGCTGGCGATGAGGAACATAAGGCGTATCACATATTGAACGCCGCGCGCACGCGATGTTCTAACAAGCTTATACAGACGATCAAACATGGGAGGCCACGGGTTTGGTTTTTGGGGTGGCTATGATGTGCAACATCTTATGACAATCTTCGGGGGAAAAGGCTTGAGCACTCTCTTAATCGGCGCGCGTTATTACTCGTGTTTCCTTGTCTCGTGTTTCGTGCCTGGCTACGAGAAGTCACCGTTGAGAAGAATGTTGTGTGACTTGCACCAGTCGGACGGCATCGTGTACCCGGGCCATTTGTCAATCACAGCACGCTGCATATGGCGGGATTCCAGAGCCCCGGTGCTTGTTGTAGTGGATTCCCATATCGTTCAACTGCCGTAGAATCACTACTCCTTACGTTGCTCTCAACTCAGATGAGCATGACGCCGATCAACATTCTCTAGGTACCTAGGTATTCTCGGTATGATCCCCTTGCCCGACGCGAGACAAATGCACGTCAGTCACGCTAGAGTACCCCGTAAATTGCTCAGAGGTTTCTTCATCGCAATTGAAGGTTTGGCTAACTGATGGGACCAAAAATCGTTAGAGACGAACATGTTCTCAATTGAGACCTTGCGGCTACCCCCTTTCCCTCCAACGGTCGCATGCACTGAACTCAAAGTTTCGGTGTGGTTGCATGTGGCTAATTGACAAGACAGCTGCCACACTAACTCTTTTGAGTGACTGCAGCATCGGAGGATTTTGATGTCATAGCCATTTCCGTCAGAGAACGACAGGTCGCAACCCTGAAGAACGCAAAGTGCTCAACCGGGGTGCGGCATGTCAGTTTTTTGACAAGTTTGCGTCACGGCCAGGTTTCCAGGTTTACCGTTCCAAAGATCGCCCCCGGACCGTTGTTTCAATGTTATGCTCAGCCTCGGCCTAGGGGAGGGGTGGTGAGCAAAAGGGGGCCAAAGGACGAGAGAGGCGATCACACTGGATGGGGCGACCGAAAAGGGACGAGGTGTTTCCAGCAAGATATGTAATTTGTTCTTGTTAGTGTTGTTGTTGATGATGATGATGATGATGATGATGATGATGAACTATGTACTTGATGGGGATAACTTGATGCCCAATCGATAAAAGTATACACACAATTTCCGCTGCCAATCCAAATAACGCGAGTAATATACAAGGGCTAATTTTCGCCGGATTCGCGCTCCCCCACATCCCAAGTACCTTCCCCTCCGTGAACTCCAGTTTTTTCCCTTCAGGATGTTCCCTGAGGAAAGCTTCATATCCCAGCGACGTGAGTTGTTGTCATGAGTTGAGACCGCGCCGGTCTCGATGATCGTCGTGGTGCATGAGTGAGTGAGTGAGAAAGAGTCGTGTCGTATTGCGCAACAAAAGAGGGTTTGTAGCTAGCTTTCGAGCGTTGGGTCAAGGGATCTTGAATTGACCCCGGGACCCCAACTGAAGCCACCGCATGGACAAAACATCCAGTATGGCGGGTTTGCTGGCGGGGAGAAGTGGAGGTTATGAGGTAGGTTGGGCGTGATAAAGGAACCTCTTCTGTTGCTCGGTGGGCTCATTCTCTATATTCTCATGATTCTCGAAGCCGTCTGGTGTCTCTTTGCCGAGGTGAAGAGTCCAATTACATCTGCCGGATGGGGATGCGTTCTCGGTCTGCTATTGCCTCCTTTTTGTGAAATAATCTTGACATCGTTTCTTTCTTTTCGTTCCTAACCATGGCTAAGGAAACCTGCGAGGCGGTGGCGGCGATAACCCTTGCTGAACATGCCCTTGCTCGACATCTAAATGGGAGATGTTGTGAGGGTCGTGCTCGAAATCCAAGCTCTTGCCGGAGTGAGATCCGTTCAGATCTGCACTCTCGTTTCCTGATAGCGGCCACATGTCGGGCAGCGGTGCGGTGGGCGGGCGCGGCTTAAAGTCGGTCTCGGACGGCGATGTCGTCGAGTCGGACGAGCGGGCGGGATCCTGCTTCCAGTACGGTGAGTCGTCGGCGGGCTCCTCGGGGATCTCGCGGAGCGCGATCCGCTCGTTTCCTTGCTTGTCGTTTTGCATCACGCCCGTCGATATCCGCTTGCCACTGCTGAGCTTGCTTCCAAAGGTTGTGCTCTGGCCTCCGGCGGTAGACTCCAGTCTCTTGGAGGTTAGGGACGTGTGGATTTCCCTGAGGATTGGGCGCAGAATGGGGATGCACTGAACGATGATGGTGCCGGTAATTTCCGACGAGTACCTGGTGCAATCTTAGCGAACGCGTCCTTGAGTGGAGATGGCACGGAACTCGGCTCCTCAGAATACTACTCACCAGACTTGGGACAGGCCATTGCGCCCTGTAATCAGATCGTATTAGCGATTCATGTGAGATTTCATCAAGATTGGGTTGCTTGGCTTACAGATATACCACTGATCACGACCGTTACCCTCATCTTTCCAGCTTACTCTGATGGCGGCAACAATGGCGACACTGAGTAAGAATTAGCATTTTGCCAAAACCATCAAAATCATGAATATGATTTAAACTCACATCATTCCTAAACTCATCGTGATACATAGGCCAACCTTCTCAGCGCGTCTCATTTCCAGCGATCGGGTGATCAACCAGGGGAAGCACGCAAAGACGAAGTCCATGATGATGTTGTAAACTACACACTTGAGTCAGTCCAAGACCTTATGATCAAAAAGCAATCAGACATAAACTGCCTGCCATCAGTTGAAACTTACCGTTTCCGCCCTCCTTGAAGTCGTCGCGGAATTTCTTTTCGAGGCAGAAATTCAGTCGGTAGTCGCCGTCGTAACTCTTGCTACCGCAAACTTTTCCCCACTGAACGACAACCTTGGCGATCATGTACACGTTCATTGTGACGATACAGAAATAGAGAATCCATCGCTGCCATTGGTTGCTCATTCGGATGAGTGTGACGCCGAAAGCTGACTTGGTCCATGCTTGTCCGATGAGAGTGCCGCAAGATGAGAT